CCTGGAATGGGTCTCCAAGTCTCAGAAGAGTAGATGGACTAGGACACCCCACACCAACTCACTAGCATTTTTAGACATTCCCGGCAGCGTGGTATACATGCGCGGCTATTTTCTCTTCGCGGCTTTGCATATGATTTTTTCATCTTGAATTGCGAAAAACATTTGTGACACAGAAGACATATGTCTTGGGAGGACAGATGAAATTACAGTCTAACACTATAAATATGACGAAATAATGCTGTGAAACCCGTGGTGAAACAAAACATGAAACAATGTGTTGAAAATGTATTTTGAAAATGACCTGAAGAATTATCAGTAAATCAAGCGCCCAATCTGGGCGTAGCGCTTCCAATCATAAGTAAGCTGAATCCGTCTGATGGTTTGAGCACAAAGCTTAAAATAACGTTTCAGATGTCATTTCTCACGTTCACTCTGGCCTGCTTCCTGTGCGTTCAGTTGTTTTCTCTTGTTGCATGGGCTGCAAATGTGCCGCATTTCTCTATTGGTGAGTCCATATACTTTTCGGGTGACCTCTCTTGGATTTACTCAGCTCAGAAAAGGATTTACTGGGATGGGGAGGTGTCATCAGCGTCATTGGCGGGAGCTTGGACCCTTCTGTCAGTGCTCTAGATGTGCAGAAACTTTTTGCTACAGTCAATTTCACGCCCATCCATTCAGGGCGTGAATCCTACACGTGCCCTGGAGGGATGGGGGTGACCCCAACGCTAACGATGCTAACCATATGGACCGTTCCCTCCGGCTTAGCTCCGGAGCTAAATGGGGTGCTATCGCAGTTCGTAGCAGAAACGGTTATTGGGATCTCGTCGTTGGGCGATTAACAATCCCTTATGTGTTGGGATATGCCAGCTGACGATACGTATCATTGGCAGGTGTGTTAGAATATGTGCTATAATACGCCATAGCACGTTGAGGGCGAGTTACGCCAGCCCGAATTCACACTCAGCGATGATGCGATAGGGCGCCCCAATGCTATGGACGCGAACACAGCCGCAGACGGAAATCGGCGTTGACTGCTTGACAGGATAACAGGAGGGTGGGTGCTGCCCTTACACAATCAGATAACCTTCTACTACGTTACATTCTTCCAAAACACGCGGCCGATGGTTGGCGCCGATCGATTTCCTTCTGCGACTTGCAATGGTAGCCCGTCGACGCGCGTCATCGCAAAGTCTGAACGCGGCCATAAGTTGTCCAGAGCGCTATACTAGGTAACAAAGCTACCCTTTCAATTCGATTTGGGGAACAATGTGAATCGCCATTTTTTTATTGGACATCTTCAGATGAGAATCCATGGTGTGGAGTGCAGCCGTGCCTTACTTCATCAGTCAACAGGTCGGGGCTGGTTTTCTTTCTTCTAGCCAACGTCTTCACTGGTCTGGTTAACTTCGCGATCGATACACATCATACCGATGACGTGACCGCTATGTTTATACTTATTTGCTATACATTCATTCTTTGTGCTATAGTTCACTACCGTGATTTCATGAAAATGTCAAGAATTCACTGAAATTCGGCTGGTTCGAAAATAAGGTTGATTTTTGAGAGAATGGGCGTAGTGAGGCTTGGTGGGGAAACCGAATTGTACTTAGAAACTTTTTTAGGCCACCTTGTGAAGACCAGTAAATTCCTGTAACCAAAGTGTAACTTGCTAATTAATATGAATTAACAAAGGGAATTAGCGAAAGCGCAAATTGCCCCCCCCAAGCCGAACACCGCCGCCTTCTGATTCCGCGTATATCATCGACATCAATGTGGCAGGACGTGTTGGCATCTGAAGCAACGTTCCACGCTGATCGTATGGGCGGAGATGGGCCCGAATGTGCCTTAATCTTGGTGCGCCCACTTCCAGAATCGGCGCACCACTGAGAAAGGCACTGTGGTGGGCTCATCTCCGCCCATATTATCAGAGTGGACTCTGTCTTCAAGTATGGAATTCGTTTACAAGTATTTCAAATTGAAACTCTTCCATTTCAGTTATAGGTTTGTAATTCATATTGAAATATTTGTACTATAAGTGCCATCTATTAATCAGCTAATCGCATATTGTTCTTGTGATGAAACCCCCATGCATATACCTCTGCCTGTGTTTTCAAGGATTAGACCATCTGTGATATATCCGGTTTTTCGTGTTGGTTCTTTCGTGTGCATGATTTCTATCAATATAACCAAAGTTACTATAAGATTTTATTATGATGACTTATATCACGATCTCCGGTAGTGGGTTTTGGTTGTGGTGTCTTAGATAACGACTATTACTTAATCTTGCCTTGCTCATAGTCATATTGTTTTGGGTTGGAAATGCATTATGTGAAAAGTTTGCATGGGGTGTCGGTCGGGAGATCCTTGTTGCGGCGACGCTGCGACGCGTGCGCGATATTCGCCAAGATCAACTCAGAAAAAATAAACAGCTTGACGCCAGAGTTACACTACAGGGGAACTGGTCGAATATCTTGGGCCTGGATTCTAGCTTTGCTCGCTCGACATCTTGTTTTGTTGCGAGAATGTAGTGACCCTCCTTGAAGAATGGCAAATCGCTCTCGCCAACAGAATCAGTATCAGCGAGGGCAGCTAGATTTAATGCCGGCTGCCGCCCATTTCTCCTTTGTAGCGGTTATGTCTGACGTTAAATCTGCTCAGTTTCTCTGGTTGATTGGTTTAGCATGAAAGTGCTACTGTAAATTGAGTCTACCAGTTAGAAAAGGGGGAACGGATAAGACAGACGTAACTTGTCGCGTCCTGTTGCGCGGCGTATCGTGCGGCGGCGGATGCTCGATGTGCATGTGTTTTTAGACCGAAGCAGCAGAACTCGTAAGAGTTCAAGCGGGACAAGACTCCACGACGGGCGATATATGTAGACTTTCCCGGTTCCTTTAACGCTCAGATTCACGAGACAAGGCAGAGCAACTTCTCTGCCATGCGGTGCATCGCTCGCCACGCCCATCAGCACGGCATATTACGATTGTCTTGTCACATACCCCTGCGAAACAGCTAGTAGGCGCGGCGTAGATCTCCCGACCAGCACTCTCTGTGTAAGAGAATTTGTCTCTTATTTCACTCATCGCTAGATTTGTTTATATGGATAACACCGAAATCATATTTTTGCCATCAGGAATATCACCCTTGGCAGTTTATCCGCTAGACTTTTCAATTGTTGAAAAGTTGTTGTGAACCACTTTGTCGAACGAACGAACGCATTATCGATACGATTGACGCCTTCTGAATAAATCTGGGCTTTTTCCGTGGACCCGGATCATCTGCTGCTCTTCTCATGCAGTAAGCTCGATATCTACTAGAAAGCATTGTTCCTTGTTATAAAGATTGTCGTGTATGTCACTGCCTAACGTTTAGAACATACTCTATTCTATGGGAGAATCACTACATATCAGTATAATCGCATTCATTATTTCCTTACGAATTATTTCCTTCATGTATAGAGTTATTAAAGGACGCTTTGATAATGTTTTCTTTCGAAAAAGTACGGTGATAAAATAAAACGTGTTGTAGAGTTGCTGTAGTGCACTGTGCATCAGCGGCTTCTGACTGTTACTTTGTGACGATGAAAAAGCTGCTTCAAACTCCATTCAGTCCAGCGTTGTTTTGTGGGGTCAAACGACAAGGTAGCGGAAGAACTTTTGCGAGTGGAATCACGTGCACGGCATTCGAACCAGCACCCAGGGGAATTCACACTGCGATTACTTAGAGGTAGATGTCGCCTCTTGTATAAGGTGTGCATGTCCACTGGCGTCTAACAAGGGGTAAAGTTTGTGATGGATGCAATAGGGAGGAGTCTTGGTGGTGAGCTGTGAAGCATAAGCCGAGGAATCGCCACACGATCGAATTCGAGTCGTGGTGGGTGTCAGTGCGATACAGAGTCGACGTTCGACGACTCCGACTCGTAAGTTTGCGAATCCATCCGTTAAGGCTTCACAGATACCCACAAGGTCCTCCACTCTACTGCACCAGTTACAAATTGTACCGTGCTCCAAAATTGCATGAGTAGCAGCGTTGCAGCTTTTTGCCTATCTATAATTTGCATAAAATCTACCTTAATAGACTGCTACCAGGTCTATCCCAATTCCAACGTTCCCGGGTAAGCTTGGATTTCCACTGCGTCAGGTCAGAACCCTGCTAGTATAATAGAACATATCTACAAAAAATCCTCAAAAATGACTAAGATATTAAAGTTAAAAATCCACAACAACAACAGGTAAAACTGAAGACAATATATCATAAATAAATAATGTTATTGACAAGAACTATAGCCATAGACTGGTTTGGAAATAATTCACTTACGGTAACGTGTAACCGTACTAGAAGTGAGATGTCACTGATGAGTAAAAAGATCAAGAGGAGGTTTTACGACTTGGTAAGAATCTCGCGAGCATTTTCACTGACAATATTCTCCATAGCCATAACATCCTTGCTCCAGGCGGCGATACGATTGGCCATGGCAAGTACCTGAAACCGAGTTTCAGTGAATCTCCTCGAGAGCATCTTGGAGAATGAATGAATCGTGAACCAAATCTCAAGTAGGCCATTCCTTGTGTTCGAGGGTTGGATATCGGTTGGAAGATCTAGTTACGGCAGTGTGACCAATTAGCTCATATTTTCTTACTAGAAGGCTCGACATAATACTTAGCAATTGAACTGTGAGTCAAGTCAACTGGTGCAACTGATGAAAACACCGTGCACGCGACATCACTTGTAACTACAATCTTCGCCGCGTCGTCGCAAAGTGGATCTCCCAACCGATACCATCAAAAGTCTAGCGTTTGAACAAAATTCATTCATGTAAGAAATTGTATCAGAACTCAGCGAGCGTTCTCACCTGAGTTGTATTCAACACCCTGGGTTGGACCCATGTGATCAGAACTGTTTTGTTGACTTGATCAATAGCACCACGAACCAAATCCTTGCTCAGCGCTTTCATCACAAGAAACTCAACCTGAACATTTCTTGTATATCTGGGCTAAAACCTCCATCAAAGAACTTTGCTTACTCAAAGAAAAATATGTAAGTAATTGTGAGTGGAACAAAAGCGCACCTCATTGTTTGGCACTTGACATTTTGCTGCGATTTCTTGGAAAGTGATTTTACGCTCCTTTGACGGGCGGGCAAGGGCAAGCTGAAATCGTAAGGCTGTTATTTCTTCAACGGAGCCATTACGCGAAAGATTATGTCGTGAAAGAACAGCAAGCCCACCTCCATGATTGCTAGAAGTCGAATTTTGCCCACAAGAAAATCCTTCTTCCTCTTTAGATCATCCCACTCTGACCAATGTTTCTCCAAGGCGTAGAATTTGTTGAGATCTCCACAATTGAAGGCATACAGCACCTGAACAACAGTGGTTCTAATACCAACCACTAACCTGACTTACCAACGCCTACTTCATCATTTATTACCAGAGAATAAGTAATTTTTTAAAATAATAGTGTGTAATGCGTGTAATGTGGGTGTGAACTGTGTTGCGGCACAGAGGGGCGTGGTTATCTGGGGCGGCGCTTCGCGCAAGACTGAGGAAAAAAGCCGCTCGCGGAAGAATCCAAAAAATATAAAGGTATACTGTCTAACTAATAACAAGCCAAAAAACTCAGGCCTGACGAAGGTGTTAGGCTTCGAAATATTGCAATAA